CCTTAGATCAGTATATTCCTCCTTCACATTGTTGTAAAAGTATAATGGGTGCTACTCTGATGTAAGTGCTTTGATTCTGGGGTAAAATTAGATCGATCCAAAGAAAGTGCAGATGTTAACAGAGACACAATTGCAATGCCAGGTATTGCCACTCAAGGACAAAACACAAGGTGGCATAGAAAACCAAGCACATTTCACTCATCACAGGAGAGCCATGTGCCCATATTATGAGGAGCTATAAATAATTCTTGCCCAAGACAAGAGCACTGGGGTACATATCATTGCTGCCTCTTGCCTTCTATCACAGGAAGAAGAAAGAGGCCTAAAGAAGCAGTGCAAGGCAAAAATGGAGATAGTGCTGAAAGTCTTCTCCTATATGAAACAGGGGAGCAGAAATTAGTCCCACAGGCAGTTGATGACAGCTCTAATTGGACGACAAGAGGTTCCCAAAGGCTCCAGAGATTCAGCTCAATTGTCCACAAATAGCTGCTGCCCTCACAGCCCCCATTCACTTATAGCAGGGGTTGTCAACCACGGGTACGCGTACCCCTGGTGGTGCTTGAGAAGGCCCTAGGGGATACGTGTAGGCAGGCAGGGACAGAGTGCCGCCATGCACCATCCTGTGCTGCTGCCACCCGCCCACCTGGCCATATGTGGGGGATAGGGGAAAGCTCACACGCGGCGGCTGCCACCGCTCTGCATGCAGCTGCATGCCACACCACTCCCCCACAATCCGTGTCCAGCTGCCAGGAGTACACTGATCCAAAAAGGTTGAAAACCCCTTACTTAGTGATAGTGAACATTGCTGCAAGGGCATTATGGGAATACTCATTCCCCAAAGAAACATGATTCCAGGATCTAAGGACTACATGTGCTACTGTTGATGGGGGGCTGCATCTACACACACCACTATCACCAGCCATTCTGTCCAACTTTAAAAGTCACACACCATCCTTTCCTGAAGGGCTCGTGACCAGTTCATGGCCTGCAGCTAAGCTCTCCTCCTCATTTCCCTTCCTACTCAAAAAAGGATTTTTTTGGAGTGTGGAGCACCCTGTTTCAAAACTATATCACCAAATCTCCACACACTTAGTGGAAATGCCCTGCTAGTGTTGGACATTCTATTTATGATCAAAGCCAACTACACATTGTGCGGGCCGACTTCCAATCTCGCCTGGGTCGCCATGTGCGAGCTCTCTCCCGATCCCATTTGGGTCACCATGTGCGAGCCGGGGCAAGCCGGGGACCCGTCTTTGTGTGTACACAGGCTGTGGCCGGTAGCCCGGGTACACGGGGTTGGAAAAGACCGCGGTGCGGTATGACACGCTCTAGCTAGAATCAGTCATGGAGGTGTAATGGTTGATTGAAAAGATTATTTACTTACACCCAAGGTGGTCGCGATGTAGGCTGGTCAGCTTTCCAGGCTCAGCTCCGCTTGAGTTCTCGGTGGAGGACTCTAATAAACTCAGTTCCTTGACCCCGGAGTGAATCAGGCTCCGCG